TGCAAAACTCTATCAATCTTTTCATTTGTCGCAAATCATCAACCTAACGGAAGTAATTGTAATCAAAATAATTTTACTCACACACACACACACAGTAACAGAGACACAAATGTATGTGTATAAATGTTGTCATTGGAAATTTGCTGTTAAATGCTGTTTAGAATAATTTTATAGTCAGTTGTGTGCTTGAGTGTCACCGGTCGTGTGATGGAATGCTTACTAACCAAGCACGTGGCCCGGGTTCGATTCGCGGCTAACGCACTCCTAAACTTCGCCTAGCCGGTAAGAAGCCTGGTTCGTTGTTCGTTGTGCCTTCCTAGACTATACATCTGCTTTTGACTCGGTCCCTAGGGACATCTTATTCAATAAACTTGCTGCAAGTCAAACAGAATCTTGGACTGTTAACTGGTTACGTCCCTATTTCTCAGAAAGAAAGCAGTACACCGTGTATAAAGGGAAGTCTTCCACTTCAGTGCCTACTGAAGCTGATGTCCCTCAAGGCGCTGTCCTTTCTCCTTTTCTTTTTTCCTTCTTCTTACATGACTTGCCTCACTCTGATGAAATAAACTTTGTGAAGTACGCTGATGATTTAACTGTTTCAATGGCTGTTAACTCCCAGCTAGATTGTACCAAAATAAATAGCTTTCTGTCGGGAGTCAGTAAATGGTCTGAGTCTAATGGTCTTAAACTGAATCCTTCTAAATGTCAAACTGTTAATTTCAGCTTAAGATGTAAACGACAGTTAAAAGAAGCCGTTGATTCTCATGACAGTTGTAAGAATGATGACAATGATATAGGAATTAAATCAGAAATTAAGTATCTTGGACTTATTCTCTCTTCTGATCTCTCCTGGTCTTCCCATGTGTTCCCATTAGATATCCGGTAAAATATTCCGCCTGACATTTTATATTAAGAAGTTAAAGCACTCGGGTATAACTCAACCCCTCCTCTTACAGTTCATAAACTCTTGCAGCGTACCTATTCTTCTTTATTGTTCACCCTTATTCTTTCCTGGTTTGCTTAAAAAGGACTTTGTCACAATTCGTAGAATGCTGAAGACTGTCAGTAGGGTGAGTGGTGTCCCAGTGGACCACATAGTTAGCGTCGTTGTAGATAGGCACTTGACTTCGTGCAGTAAATTTGCTAAAGGGATTTTGTCTGACTTGGAGCATCCACTTTACCCTCAGCTTTCACCTTGCATCTCGTCAGGTAGAACAAGAAGTAACTTCAGAAAACTGTATGCTCGCATGTCTAAGTATAAAAATTCTATGATACCATACTTGGCACGCATTTTATGTAATGAAAATAATGTCAGGCAAGAATTGACTAACCTTTTTTCATCTAGTAAATAAACAATTTCCTCCATCCATCCTTATATACCTTCAAGCTTTACTTTTATTATTTCTATTATATTTATGGTCCTGTTGCTTCTTTGTTTTACTCTCATAAGTGCAAACACCAACTTATATCTATGACTTCTGTAATTTTTGCTTTTCCCCACACCATATCGTGTAAAGAGAACATTATATTCAATATTTTTTAAACATTAATGGATCGCAGAACTATGCCATTTAGATGAATATATGTATAATATGTCGTGCAACTTTTCAATTGAGACTCCTCTGTTAAACTGGGAGATGTTTTTTCACATGTGGGAGAGAAAGATATCCTATGTAGCACTTTTATCCACATTTTATTTTTTTTCATAAATATACATATTGCATACCCAAAAATACCTCCTTCATGTGATTGGTGCGTTCAGGGCCATTCGCTGATTGGTAGTTAGTGGTGCTTAAAATTTATCTTTTGCCCCCCCCCCCTATATTTCACACATAACGCAGAAGAAAGAATAAAATATTTACACAGTTATCTGTCTATACCATCCCAATTACGCCTGGGCTTGCCACTGGCTAAACGAGGTTATGGGAGTTATGCACTGCCTGGGAATTGAACTAGGAGCACGTGAGCAGTTAACCAGAAATCCTACGACTGAACCACCGACTTACAAATCAATGAAGATAAAGAATACTAATCAGCATCGTTTCCAGATAAGATAAACAAAAATGAATTTATAAACTTCTGGATAAATTATGCTTATCAGATCCATGATGCAGCTAATAAACAGTTACTCTTAAAGTCGTTTGTGTTTTCACTACGTGGTTAGAAGTCTAGCTGATCCTGTCACTTTAACCACACAACTTGGAAAGTCCGGTGAAAACAAGAGAAAAATCACCTTTTCAATGCACCAGGATAAAACAGTTCATATTTGCATAACTTTTACTAGCCAGTCATTTTCAATGCAGATGGCGTGATAATTTTCTCCTCTTGGACATACATGACGTGGAATGCAGATTCGACTACGTCTTTTGTCTAAATAGCATCAAACGTAACACAAAAACATTACTTTTAATTCTAACTGCACGTCGAAATGTGCCATTTATCCCTTTGGAGGAAGATAATGCTAAGATCAATAGAAAATTGTTCCAGTTCAGATAGTGATGGTGATGACACAGGGAAGTAAATTTAGCCCACTTACTCGGCAGTTATTCATTTGAATTATAACCGTTGTTTGGATTTACTAATATACCTAGGTCAGTTCCAGTCCTGACTAGTTTGCAGACATATGCGTACTTTATAGTGACTGTCTGATAAAAATTATTACTGTGATTACGATTGTTATTTCATTCATAGCCTTGACAAAATTTATTGAAACTGTAACAACAGAAGGCAAGACATGGAAGCCAAAGTATAAAGTATATTTAATTAATCATACCCCGGTTTATATATATATTTTTTTATTCCTTCACGTTCCTAGGGGAACATAGGGCTTCAAGCTAGAGGCTTGAAGTTTCTGTAGCAGTGGTGTTTATTTTTACAGGATGGGCTTGCCAGCCTCATGCCCAACCTTCTCTCTTTACCAGCTTTTAGTTCTGGCTTAGTGAGTTAAAGGGGTATGCCGGCCGGGGATCGAACCGCGGACCATACACATGGTTGGCGAGCGTCCTAACCGCTATGCCACCGAAGCACGTGGTTTATACATAAACAGTTTAAATTCGTTAACCGGACACTGAGTGTGTGATTTCGGTTTACATCAAAAGACATCGAATAGAATGTTCAAATAGATAAATCGTATTCTGTTGCTAATGCCCAACTGAATCGTGGGAATATGTGGGAATCATATTCCATTGGCACAAATTGCCTGTATCACACCACCACAGAACTACACTATGAGAAATACAGTTTTAATATCTAGAATTTTAAGTAGGAAAATGTCATTCCCACAGTACTCTCTGGTTTTCAATAGTTCTTTAACTGATATCAATCCAATGGGCAGACTTGAAGCAAATCAAATCCCTACACAGTAATTCTTAAAAATGTCATCCTGTTAGTTTGAACGCCTTCATCAATCAAGATTGTTTCAACATGTGGTATGCTGGCGTGTGCATTATTCATGTCAGTTTTCAATAAAAGTAAATTGCATTGGGACGAAGTAAACGTCAGTCGGCTTGAGAAGTATTTTCATTCCATGGAGTTATTGTTTATTGGTCTCTTGGAGTCTGCAAGCGAAGTCTACCTGAGCGCGGCTAGTTCAGTTTTTTCAATGTCATACAAATTCAAAGACCCATAGATAAAAACCAACAAGTTGGCAGAAGAGACTGGCGGGACTTCAAGTGAACATACGGAAGACAAAGAAGATGAGAGTACTTAACCAACAACACTAGCAAGCACCAGTCCTTACCAACAGCAGAAGTTTGAAGGAAGTCTCCGCTTTCACTAATTTAAGCAGCATAGTTTTAACTAAAGGCAACGGTACGGATGAGGATATTAAAGCAAACAAGGATCAGAAAAGAAAGCTAGTTATTCCTTCCTCTGAAATCAGGGTAGAAATTCGCCTTACTCAACAAAAGCAACACTAATGTCAAGTCAAGTCAATGTTTCTATGTGGTTCAGAGAGTGAGGAAGGCTGTTTCCAACAGGCAGTTACAAACTTTTATTACCATCTGCTGTCACTGCCCTTATACTGACTGTCCGAAGACTGTGAATTGCTAATTATAGATGGTTTGAGGCAGTTGTCAGAAAGCCTTCAACCTAGGTCTCGTGCTAGTTGGCACTCACCAGTTAGCAAGGCGTATCTGCAACCACTGTGAAGGAACTCGTGTCCCTTCTGAGATTCGAACCCACATCACCCAGTGCTGTAGTATGAGACGTTACAACTGAACTATTCGACCTCGTGATCGACCTCCTGCACGACTGTACTGGATATTTATTTTTTTGACTGGACACTAGTCAGTAACCAGCGTAATGTGTCTAGTTTGCTTTTGGTGTAGACTGAATTCTGTCAGTCAAGTTTGCAATGTGGCCACCACGCCAGGTGGCTCGCCATCATGGTGCACTTCAAATTGTTGATACTAGATGGTTGGAGGCAATCGACAGGATGCCCTGGACGTCGGTTTCGTGTTTGTCGGCACTCAACAGTCAGCAGGGCGTATCTCCATGTGGCCACATTGCAAACTTGACTGACAGAATTCATTCTGCACCAAAGATAAGACCAGGGGACCAGTGTCCAATCCAAAAAGTGACTTGAAAGAATTAGCAACAAACACCTCAAGCCACAAAGCTGCCCAGAACCTGTCGTCCAAGAAATATGCCGATAGAGATGAAGATGAATTGGTCACACTCTGAGGAGGCCGTTGAGTGACATCACGCACCCCGGCATACTTAGGTATCTCAACTGCTGATTCATCCAGCAGCCCGAAAGTCACTCTCAGTTTTTAAACATAATGAATAACTTCGATATAGAGTTGTTCTCATGTATCCCTTAATAACTGTAAGTATATGTCATTGGTATGCGCTGAATAATTTCTATATCGAATACTTCATAAGACATGGTATGTTGTGTTCTCAAAGAATACATTGTGTTATTGATTAATTGTTAACTTTAGCTCTAGAACTTTTCATTTCTGTTTGGTTTTTTTTTTAAATTTTGTTTTGCTGAACAGGTCATCAGTTGTAATCGACAAGTGTGTACATTACAGATCACCGATACAACCGGCAGTCATCAATTCCCTGCTATGCAACGGTTAAGCATCACTAAAGCTCATGCATTCATCCTTGTCTATTCAATAACCAATAAAGCATCGTTCGATGAATTACAACCATTGTACACTGAACTAGCACTAATCAAAATGGATGAATTACCCAAAGTACCGATTATGCTAGTTGGCAATAAAGTTGACGAGAATGATAATCGTGAGGTGAGCACTGCACACGGTAGAGCATTAGCTCAAAAATGGAAATGTGGATTTATGGAAACCTCAGCGAAATCAAATTTCAACGTGAAAGAAGTATTTCAAGAACTATTGAAAATGGAAACTCGACGTAATATGACACTAGTTGGTGAAAATAAATCACGATCACGATTTTCCTTTTTATTTAAACGTCGTGTCAATGAAAATCAAACAAATGAAACAATTGGTGTACTTAGTGGGAATAATTTTAACCCCAGTGCTAGTGGTTCCACTTCAATTATTGATGCACTCGATATGCCAACACAGTTAAGTACTACTACAAGTACCCAGCGGAATACACAATCAGAAGAGGCTACTACATCGGCTACTACTACACCGAGTATCAAAAAGACTTCCTCCTCAAAGTTAAAAAGATTTTTAAGCATTAAAGCCACTTCAGAAGCTAATACAAACCTGAAAAAAGATATGAATGGAGATTCCGCATAAATCTTAATATACATATACAAGCATATTTTGTAAAATGTTTTATGTTTTTAAATCAAAAACAAAATAAAAACCGTTATTTATCTATTTATCAGAATTCAAAAAAAGAAGCATAATAATTATAATTATACAGCAGTCGCTTAAATGCATTTAAAGCTTTGTTATTCCACTCCGCTCAAAGATTTAGTCAATTCATTGGTACAATTAAAGTAATAAAATTCACACCTTTTAGAAAAATTAACACATTTTTATCCTTTATGTTTTTGTTGTTTGTTTTTTTCATTCATACAGACAGCTTATCTTCACAGCATAAACTCATTTCCACACGAAAACAAAAAATCATGATACATTTTCAGTGGCGCCAAGTTTTAAATTGGCGGCAAACGACTAAATATTATAAAATAAATACATGAAAATACACACATATATATACATATATTTCAGATGCAAAAAATTGATATAGTATTCAAGATAATCAAATTATTTTGAACAGACAAAAATGTAGCAGTAGTTTACTGTGGTCATTATATATTTTCTTTTTGTGTCGGCTCTCCAAATGTACTGAAAATAATTAAAAAAAACGGAACTTTTGTTTTATTTTTACAGTTTTCTTTATAAGTGCTCATTGTAGACATGTGGGAGGTAATAAATGAGTTTATTATCAATTTGACATTGTGTTATTCGACGACTTCTGTTATCTGTAAAGAAAGTGGGGGAAGTTTGGTTCATATTTACCAGGGATAATTTGTAAACTGTACCCCTGTAAATGTGTTAGACAGTGTCGTATTGTGGTGGTGTGATACAGATAATGTGTTCCAACGGAATATGATTCTCACACATTTCCACAGTTTGATTCGACATTAGTAGCAGAATACTCCATATATCTATTTGAACATTCTATTTGATGTTAGAGAGAGAATACATTTCCCGCGGTTATATACTGCATTAACAACAGAATACTATGTATGTATTTGAACATTCTATTTCATGTCGTTTAATGTAAACCGAAATCACACGCTCAGAGAATTCCAGCTAGTGGACACACATCCTAGTTCTTTAGAAGGGACTCTCATGTCACAGACATTTTCGAAGGTTGCGCCATTACATTCCAATTAAAATTGGAACTGCCTCGAAGTCCTGCCAGAAGATCCATATTTTTCCACACCGTATTTCTGGTGCAAGTATGGAATTTTCAGCATGTGATATCGGTAGCCCAAATCTTGCAGGCCGACCAGTGATATCAAGTGCGAGTCGGCAGGGTAGCGAACCCCGGACCATGTGCTTGGTCGGCGAGAGTCCTAACCACTGTGTCACCGACGCACATCATCAAAACTGCAGGGCATAGGCTTTCCACTTGTCTGCAAGGAGCGACACCAAATGTCACAACAGAAGGCAAGACATGGAAGCCAAGATATATTTTCCATTGACCAAACCGCTGTTTATATATATATATAAACAGTTTACATTAGTTAACCAATCACTGAGCGTGTGATTTCGGTTAACATCAAACGACATCAAATACAGTGTTCAAATACATACATAGTATTCTTTTGTTAATGCAGTATATAACCGCGAGAAATGTATTCTCTCTCTAACATCAAACAGAATGTTCAAATAGATATATGGAGTATTCTGCTACTAATGCCGAATCAAACTGTGGAAATGTGTGAGAATCATATTCCTTTGGAACACACATTGTCTGTATCACATCACTACAGTATGCTACACCTTTGTAACAGGAATGTTTCCAAATATGTTCCATTAAAACCATAAGGTTTTTATACCTATTACGAAATACAGAAAGCGTTAATCCAGGAGAAACTAGAATAGAGTTAAATGCTCAAATTTAGTGACGCAGTATAATTGACGTGAATGACTAGACGTCAAATTAAACTGGAAGAGTTATGATTAGAGCCATGACGAGTAGAAATATTGTAATGGAAATGAGAGGGAAAATTTTGAAAATGGCATATCAAGGTTCACTGAAGGTTCACTAACTGAACACACTTATTCTGTAATCAGAGTTCAGGATTCAACATGTAGATTAACACAGCTTTTGCTGTTTGATTCGCACTCCTTTGACAAGATTTTTGTTTACTCCATATATGACCCTGAAGTTGTTTTGCGAGTCTGATTGGCGTTCATCTGAAGTGATCATATTCAATCCGAAGTATGCTCCGATGACATTCCACAACGTTCTTCATCCATTTCATTTGAAAAATTCCTAAAGGCAGGTGGAAACTTATTTGAAATTGTTGGCGAGTACAGATTGCCACTTATTGTGGTAATTGGGAGATTAAAACAGTTTGAAATGGAGTAAAAACGATGCATTTTGATGAATAGAAAATTTACTTAGCCTAGAGATTTCAGCAGGCCGGAAGACATTTAGACTGGTAGTGTTCCAGTTTAGATTGAATCAAGATTAGCTATATACTTGGGGTAAGTAAGTAAGTAAGTAAGCAAACAGACTTTGACGTCAAGGCTATCGATTAATAGGAGAAAACTATTAGGTTATTGAAGGCAGTCGGCAGGAAGCCCTCAACCTAGGTTTATTGCTAGTTGGCACTTACCAGTTAGCAAGGAGTATCTACAACTGTGAAGGAATTCATGTCCCTTCTGAGAAACGAACACGCATCACCTTATGCTGCAGTCAGAGACGTTAATACTAAGCTATTCGGACTCGTGACTGTATTGCATACATTGATTGGACACTAGTAACTAGTGTGTTGTGTCTAGTACATCTAATATCATCAGATCAATGTGCACCATGATGATGAGTTATCTAGAATGGTGGCCACATTTCAAATCTGACTGATAGAATTCAGTCTGCACCAAAGAAACGAGTATACACATCACAGTAGTTATTAGTGTCCAATCAAAGGAACAAACTGAGTCCACATTGGTGATGTATAGTAGCACTACATCACTAATTGGCCTTTTCTTGTATGTATAATTAATAATTTTGCGTCTCGTGAACTAATTAAAACATAGTTTGTTTTATTGAAGCTTTCTGTCACTTTGGTTGCATACGTTTGGTCTCAATTCGATGACCCAAGAGTCAGTGATTAACCTCTCTCACTCCACTTAATTCTATTATATTTTATTACTTCCACGTCAACATCACGTTGTTATTGTGACTTCATATAAGTGAATGCTTTGTGATGGCCGATTTTCTTCCAGATCACTTAACTTAGAGGCGTCAGCGATTCCATATTTACCTACATTCCCGCGTTTTGTTAACCTCTTACATTCATAGTTCTGGTAACCTAACTTGTGCCGGTCTGATAGTTTCACCAATGTAATGGACCTGACAATCACTGTATGTTCCAATGATAAATCATATTATTTTTCATAACTTTGTCTATCGGATTCTTGAACCAGGGAATTTTGTCTCTGAGTGATTGCCTGGTTGATTTAAATGCCACTATGAATTCAGCCTTTTGGTGTGGTTGTGTTCTCTCAGCTACATGGTTTAACTGCAAAGCTCTCATTGTCGTACTAGATGACATCATCGGCGCATACTTCAATTTGAAGTGAGCTTTTAGAATTCTCCACGAATCTTTTGGTCAGCTCTCCTGGTAAGCTCCAACGTGATTGGTTATTTTCGTGCATTTTCTCACCACCCTCTAGTCCTCTTTTATTAGTAATGATTGTTTCCTGGACCTGGAAGTTGACGTTTCTTTCATGAGATTTAGTTCTTGTGGATTGATAAATCGTGTCTATGCGTCAGTGTATCTGTTGATTACTGATTCAATTGAATACCATGCTTCTAGATATTCTCTGGTGTTTTCTGTGTTTCCACTGTCGAAGATTTGAACATTGTCCCAATCGATTTGGTTTCCGTGGTTATTTGTGTGCAGTGATATAATGTAGTGAATATCGTTTCTTTCTACAGCCAGTGTATGTTCATAGATGCAAAGAAGAGGAAGAGGATATCCATTTTGGCCAATATAGTATTTTTCACAGTCGTTACAACTTATTTTGTAGATAATACTGGTTAACATAGAACCAACTGAAGTAATTTTTTTGGTTTATGTGCGACATCAATTCCAAAAAGTGTGAATAGTCTTGCAATGATTTCGGAGATGTGATGAGACAGTTTGCTTTGTGTTTCCCTTGAAGGCCTTTGATTTGGCTGGTTGGGCTGTGGGTAGATTTATAAGTAGCAGGATTAAACATTCCAAATGTTCTGAGTGTCCCCAAATGCCCCAAAACATGTCAGCTGCTCGAAAAGTTACACACTTATTAGTCAGTCCAGGATGCTCACTTCATCCTCCTTAGGAGCCGTCAGTTGGATATACTTGAATTCTGCAGGGAGTGATGGTGTTTCCATTGAGTTTCAAACCGAGTTCCGGTCATTTCAAACGCAACAGCGTTATGCAGCAGACCACTTGAACGGTGCGAGCCATATCTTGTGCAGCTGACATCAGTTATTATTTGCCTTTATTCAATATTAGTTTCTCCGTTGATTGGAAGAAGAAAAAGTACCACATTGGACGATATGTGCATCCTGGATTTCACTGCTAGTCACCATCCGCCACAATTACCTCAATTCAAGCCTCACACATCATCGACGCGGTTGTACTAGGAGGCGCCGACGTTTCAAGATAGGCCGAATATTTCAGTCCAGTCAATCAACGGGAAAATCAAAAATCAATTAAAATGAATAATACAGATATTAATAACGATATTAGATGTTTGGAGTCAATCGGAAGCAAGCCTTCAATCGAAGTTTTGTCCTAGTTAGAACTCACCAGTCAGCGAGGAGTATCTGCAATCTCGAAGGAAATCATGTCCTTCCTGAGACCCGGACCCGCGTCAACAAGTGTCCGAATAACTCAGTGGTAACGTGTCTAACTGCAGCTCTGGGTGACGTGGGTTCAAATCTCAGAAGGGACATGAATTCCTTCACGGTTGTAGATACTCCTTGCTAACTCGTAAGTGCCAGCTAGCAATAAACCTAGGTTGAAGGCT